ATTAAGGAATTACTTCAAAAGAAGAAAAGATTTAAAAGGTCAAATATTACCATGAGCAAAAAGCAGAGGCAAATACTAAAATGTGAAAAATATTTGTAATATTTGATAGATAATGAATTATTTTCTTAATATACAAATCATAGGAAAAAGATAAATGGCACAATAGATTAATTAGATGAACAGGCAAGTTACAAATGAAAACCATTAAGTGGCCACTCAATGTGTGTGTGTGTAGTCAAATTCATTATAAGTACGAAAAATGTAAGTTTTAAAAAGTGTGCTAAAATTTTGCCTAATAAATAGCCTCCTCAAAAATAAACTACCAAAAACAAATCCAGAGTTGGAGAGAATATGATGAAATGGACGCTGCACTGCTGATGGGTCCCTCAACTGGCCAATGATCTGGTGCAGTTCGGCAACAGAAAAGGTTTTTAGAGATGTTCATTCCCCCTGAGCCAGCATTTTACTTAGTAGAATGTGATCCTGAGGAAATAATCAGAGGTGCAATGGGATGTACAATGCAGTTCATTATAACATTACTGACATAGCATTATATTAAAAGCTTAACAATTAGGGACTGTCTCATTGTACGATGACTAAGTAGCCACGAACGCAATTGTTTGTGGCATTTATTGACAATGGGAAATGTTAACGACATGTATGCTGCTAACATGATATGTTATAGTTGAGGGTGTCATTATTTTGCTGCCAACAACTTTTTGATCCCATGGAAAGACATTGTACTTAGGTTGCAGGACATGAGTGTAACTGTGATTCTCTTTCTGAAGGGATGATACGGTCATTAGGGAGCAGCTGAAAAGCCCAAGGAACACTTGGAGGGTCACCTTTGAAAAATGACATGGGCTTTACAATAAGATACCGAGTTTTGCCAAATTAGATGTTTTGTTTGCCTCTGAAAAATTTGTCCAGTAGGATAGTCTCAAAACACAAATGACCTTGCTCCAGGGCACCCTTTTCCTTTACACCAAGCATGTCAAACTCAGAGGCTAACACTCAAAGGCCAAATAAATGAGGCATGTGGCCCGCTGGTCGGGAGTTTGACATGCTTGCTTTACATCAACCATCAACGCGCCCATGTCTTACTTTATGAAAGTGTGATTTATAAGCTTTCAAATGTTAAGTATAGATAATCTAATCTTAAAAGTAAGTGGAAGGGGAGCTAGAGATGAATTAGTCTTACTTTTCTCCTTTAATTGATAAGGATTTCAAGATCTAGATGGATTAGGTAACTTGCTTAGTTACTATCCTTAATCTATACTAATAAGAGCTTATGTGGTTGTGATGCCCTCATGCTGTAACTACTGATCACCAGGAGGCTGCGTGCGCAGCAGGCGCATGCGGATGGGCGGGGCGGCATGCGTGGCGAGGTGCGCTTGGGTGGGTGGGGACTTGACACTGCGTGCATGGCGCGGAGGCGGGTACCATGGCTCCGCAAGGTGAGGCCGGGGGTCCCGCGGCTCCACATGGTGAGGCCTGGGGTCCTGCCAGCACAGCGGGTCTGGGTCTTGCGCGATTTTGTGCGCTGGGCCCCTAGTATATAATAAATGACTCCAACACATAATAGAAAAACATAATATCCACAAAGGGAACTGGACAATAAATGTGAACAACTGAGTTGCAGATGAAATGCAAGTGGGCAATAAAATGAAAATATTTAACCTAAAGGAATAATGGGAGATGCCAGTTTTAAAAAAACATCTTTGCAATTCTCCATTTTCCTTAACGAATGTCTCCATCCCAACAAGGAAGCAAACACTCTGAAGATGACCATGAAAGCACATGGGCAACAACAGAGAAAGCTCCTGTCATATCCTTGCAAACACCCCTCTCCTAGACCTGGAGTGCACTCAACAGTAATGCCTTGAGGAAAAAAAGACAACATCACAACAGGGCTCAACTTTGTATCATATATTAATTTCATGAAGCCAGGTTCAGTGCCAACATAATAGATCCTTGTTTCTGGCCTTTAGGAGTCTGAGTTCTTAGTTTCCTTTCCAACCACGGCCAAAAGCCTCAAACTTTGCTATTTAATATTTTAGGTATTCATATCTTAGGACAAACTCCTTTATGCTGTGAATCATGGTTTTATGCAAAGTAGAGCTCATTATAATGTCACAAATGTTAGTAGAATTCCCCTCAGCTTATCTAGGAAGCAGCACTTAATTCTAGATTAATAAAATATATTAAGGCACTTTCTTTATTCTTTATAAATCAGTATTTTCAGTGAGTTATTTCACACAGTCCTAATTTCAAATTAGTTTAAGAAAGCAGTGAGAAAATTTTGGCATGATCTAATTCCATCATAGCTGATATTAAGTCACCCCAGAAAATAATTTTCCATTTGAGTTTATACAAAATATAGCTTTAATAAGCAGTGTGTCTGAGGTGGCTTTTTTTATTCAAAAATGCTGGTCTTCTTAGTTTTAGGAAAAGAGATTCAGTGTTCTTACTCCTGTTCATGTAAAATAATGGTTTTCTTTTCATAAAGGTTAATTGGTTTTCTATACTGCATAACAATAATATTACCTATTACGTTTTTCAAAGAAGAAATTATGCATATTTGCCCTTTAAATTATGCTCCTAAAGCAAGGGCTTAGTTGCGACACGTTACAACTTTATTATGGTCTCCCTTTAGGTTTTAAAAATAAACATGTAGTACAAGACCACAGCAAAAGAGAGAGAAGAGGCACATTTTTTACTTCATCTGCAAACAAAGGAGTCTAAAGTGATAATTTTCTCAGCTGAATCCATTAACATACTGGGCATATGTGTGTATGGAGTAGATTCCTCTTGAAAATAGAACTACTGTTAGTTTCTACTCTAAGAAGCAAAGCTGGAAAGCAAAAGCTCACTGGGAGGCAGCTGGGTTTCAACTCAGCCTGCAAGGAAAGCATTCGGCTTCCACAAGACTGGCTGAACGCGGGCTTAGTCCAGAATTGTTCTGGAGCGGGCCCAGAGTCCTAGCTCAGTCCTGGAGATCAGCTGTTTTGGTTTTGGAGGTTCTGCTCAACAGTAAGATGTTCTGGACTATCTTGGACTCTAGAACAGGGGTCACCTAACTCTAGTCCTTGGGCCAAAGCTGGTTTGCTACCTGTTTTGTAAATAAAGTTTTATTGAGACACAGACAAGCCCATTTGTTTATACATAGTCCACGGCTTTTCATGCTACAATGGCAGAATGGCCAAGTGTGTAAAGCCAGAGATATTTACTATCTGGCCCTTAAAAAAAAGTTGCCGACCCCTACTCTATAGGAATCTAGGATAGATGTTCAGTACCACACTCTATCTAGAACCAACCTCAAAGCAAGCAAAAACCATTGGATCACCCACTTTTACACCAAGTTTTACTATGTTCATGTCTCAGGAGGGTGCGTTCTTTGAGATCATATCTTTGGAGGCTTTTTCAGGAGGGGGCAGATTATCAAGGAGTAGAGAGCCACCATGTGTTGAACTTGATCCCACACTGTCCTTGATCAGAGGGGCACTTTCCCTTGGTTTTCAGTACGGCTGTCCGGCGCCTGTGTGCTCACACATGCCTGTGGCTGCAAAGACTTAGGTCACCACTCCTGGTTGAGATTCCCACTCAGAGCAGCAAACACATGGAGGCTTAGCTAAGCTTGATCTACACAAATTTCCCACTGAATGAGCAGGTTTATGACACAGAAAGTGTGAAATTTAAGTGGGGAAGAGGATTGGCCAGGTTGTCAGTGGAATAGAAATGGGAGTGGGTACATTGTGATGGCTGTTTATGAGAAATGAGGTGAGAAGGTGATTCTGAGACCCTCACTTCGTATGGGTGTGAAGCATTCTGGCATTCTATCTTGTTGCACCAGGAACACGAGTGTAGATGGGTAGAGGCAGGGCAGTGATGCTGGGAGATATAATGTAATGGTCATTGCATGAGGCTTGTACACTTCCAGAAGGCTGAGCAGCAACTTTCGGTTGCTTCAACTTCTCAGTGCTACTGGGGCATGAATTCTGGGAAGAATTGTCCTGTCCATTTAGTTTGTCACTGGGTGGGGAGGTGACATAAATAGATTATCAAAAGTGAGGGTGTACCCATGACACACAGTAGTCTATGGGTACTGCCCTCCTATCATAGTAACCAAAAGGACAGCCATGGCCTGGTGCTGGGCTGCAAGTTGGATGCAGAGGTTGTAAACTGACAGTCCATGGTTGATTCCAGTGAGCAGACATTTTGATGGGCCCATGAGTTTTTAATATTTTTATACATTTATTGCTTACATTTACAATTGGGGGTATTTTATTTAAAACCTGGATTTTAACTTTTGAAAAGTCAACATCTCTGGACACACAGGGCTTCATCTCTGCTTGTCAGTGATTGCCTAGAGTGGAGGACTGGCTTCTCTTCAGAGGGAAGAGTTTTGTTTATACACCCAATCTGTGTCAGGCCTTGGCATATCTGCCTGGTCCCTGGGGCTTTGAGTTTGCAAACCCTACGCTATGTGTTGCACAAATAATTCGTGCTTTTGCAATCTTATGTCCCTCAGGGGTCATATTGTTGTTCCTCTGTCCCTTGCTAAGAGTTTCTAGCTCACTTTATCTTATGTGGTTGAATCATATTCCATTCTGATTCTACTGCTGAATGGAATAGAGAGCCCACTCTGGGGAAGATGCCTGGACTCTGGTCTGTAAGTGTGAAGAGCTATTTATTACATTGATCTGAGTGAATGTACTCAGTGACGAGAGTGATCCTAGGATGGCTAAAAACTAGCCTTTGACAGTGAGTTCTCATTTCCTCCCCATCATGTCTGTGGTGATGACACATCTCATAGTTTCTGAAGATGAGAGCATATTTGTAGAGATGTATTCCTGGGATGCACTTGCATTTCATGACACTTGTTGGTTTGGAAATTATTGTTGCTAAGACTCTCAGGTTGGTCTTCTAGACAACTTATGTTCTTAATTAAGTGGAACAAAAACGGAGACACATCAAGAAAAATTAAAAAGCACAGATACCTGTCATACTGTTGGGAGTCATAGGTTAGTAATCATTCTGGACCCCTTTTTTCACTGACATCTCCTACAAAGAAAAAGACAAGAAAAAAACACCACAGGTTATAACCTGCATTTTCCATAATTTTTTTGTTCCAAACAATACCACATGTGTTAATCAGCAATTTGTTACTCTCAAGTCCGAACTGGGGAAGTTGAAGCATAGGGGCTAGTTCAGTGGTCGGCAAACTCATTAGTCAACAGAGCCAAATATCAACAGTACAACGATTGAAATTTCTTTTGAGAGCCAAATTTTTTAAATTTAAACTATATAGGTAGGTACATTGTTATTAACTTAATTAGGGTACTCCTAAGGCTTAGGAAGAGCCACACTCAAGGGGCCAAAGAGCCGCATGTGGCTCACGAGCTGCAGTTTGCCGACCACTGGGCTAGATGATGGGTGGAAGGAATTACATGTGAAGCAGAAAGAATCCAGGAACAGGGAAAGAAAATCTTATATTTAATATTCTAGTACTTTAGTATGACTATACTATTACCATTACCATAGCATTACTAATAGATTAGTATTACTCTTATTCTATTACTACCATTAGTATAGAATTAATAGTATATGACTATTACTATAGTACTTTAGTATTTAGTAAATTTAGTGCTATTTTCCTAAAATGAGTTCTAGAGTTTTAAAATATAATTTTAAAGTAGGCAGGTGTCTAGGGCCCATTGCATGGGGTCCTGTAACACACAGTGTGGCAGAGAAGGTGCCCTCCAGAGCCATGGCTGGGGCCTGGGGCTCACCAGCCGGTCATGGGGTCAAGGGAGAAAACAAAATCCCAAGAGCTTAATACTAAAGAAAGCTGAGCTGTTTTATTTGCCAGGAAGGGCAACAAATACAGCAAAGAGCCTCACTGAGTAGGTCAATGGGAGGAGGGTTGGCGCAATGTGTTAGAAGGGGGAGGGGGACTATGCTAATGAAAGACCGGCAATGAACTTGGCAATGAACTCTGTCCAGGAAGGGTGAGGCACAGGTCTGCATGTCACTGGATAGAACAGGCCGGGAAGTCTCTGACTAGATCCAGTGAGGGCCCTTCAAAGTTGATGGTCCTTTAACAGCTTGAACATTTCAGCATCAGTGACTGACCAGGAGAATGACATTCAGTTTAGGCTCCTAGGCAAATGCTCCTGAAATGGAGAATATGCCTTTTACATGAGCCATTTATTTGGTTGGTCAGTGGAGAGGCCTCGATTAAGAGCCTACTATGTCCAGCCTTGGCTTTATCCAAAGATAGCACTCCAGCCTGTCCACCAGGGGCTTCCAATCTAACAGAGGGAGAGAACCACACTAAAAAACAGATGCAAAAGTGTATATATGTTTTCCCTTAAGTGTCTCGTCAGAGAAGACGGGGACACAGAGGAAGCAGAGGCCATTTCTACCTGGGGTAATCTGGAGAGGCTTCCCAGTGGAGGTGACCCTGGACCCAAAGGCTTTTCTTTTCAGCAGGCCTCCCCCGTGTCGTGATTTAATGCTCTATTCTCACCCCGACACTCCTGAGGCACATGGGCTACTCTGCAAGAATGAGCCTTGTGTAGAAAAACAGGGAAACTCCTTTAAATCATGTAGCTTTCAAGCAAGGGAGTAATATGATCAATTTAAGTTTGTAAAGCTTCCCAGCGGCTGCTGAGTGAAAGCAGACCAGCGAGGGGGCCACAGCAGGGGGTGGGTTGGGGGGGTGGAGAGAGACGAAAGTGGCCAGTGGTGGCAGTGGAGGTGGTGAGCAGAGGGGGAGGGGTTCAAGTGACATATAGGAGGAGGAAATACGAAGACAGTGATGAATGTGCTGTGAGCATTTAATACTGGAATAAACACCCAGGATGCAAATAGGTTAAGACCACAGGCTCTCAGTCCTCAAGGGATTTACAATCCATTTTACAAACTGGCTGAAAAGGCAGAACTATTGGCAAGGAGCAGTTAAAAATACAAGCCACGATGCCATGGGCCAAGGGGCGGTGCTGAGACACACTCAGGGCTGAGCCTGCCTCCGGGATGAAAGGTGTGGCTCACAAACAACGTTAAGAGCAAAAGGGACAGCAGCTTGGCACAGGACATATGATCGGGGGTGGGGAGGGAGCAGGCACTGGCAAAGAACGAAGCTGCAAATGTTGTTTAGGGCCCCATGGTAGAGTCTTGAAAGGTCTGCTATCAAAGTTGGACTTGATCTGTGGGAAACGAGGAGCCATGGAAGTCCTAAGGGCATGACCCTATTTGAGAAAGATCACTCTGCCAGCGTGTGGAGGAGGCTAACCTCTGGGGGCACCTCTGCGTGGGATCCTTGCTGTTTTTCTGACTTCATGTTCAAGGTCACAAAGCTAGATCGACAAGGCCCACAGAGAACACCCCAACTCCGTCTTGTAAAGCTCCAGTGCACTTGCTCTGTTGGCACGCCCGTCATCCCTGTGTGTTTCCATTTTCCCCTCAGAAACTACAACATGGAAAGGACAACTGTAAAAATGACCCCTTTAAAAATCTCTCCATATGGACCTACTGAGTCATTGCTTAGACAATCCGTACATAATTAAAGTGAAACACTGCACCCTGTCCCCACTTGGCCATCGCCACTGCTCTGCCTATGGCATCTGGAAACGCAGCTGGTGAAGGCAAATGGCTGTCCTTTCAGTGGGCCACACCCACGCTAGGAGAGCAAAGGGGTTGTGGAACTCTGCTGGGTCCCTCTTGCCCCCACTTTGAAAAAGCAACTCTTTCCCTCCTAGAGTTTCCCTTCCATCCCCTCCCCCTCAAAGGGAAACACCTCTTCCCATCAAACCTTTCACCCTGACATTCGGGAAACGTTTTTAAGAACAAGTTCAATCCCAGACATGGAGGAGAGACTGGACTGGAGTCATTCCAGGTGGTTTGGAGTCTAGGCTCAGTAGTTTGGCCGTCTTGGACAGGTTGTTTAATTCCCTGAGCCTCATTCCCTGAGTTCCCACCCTTTAGGTTACCATGGGGACCAAGGGAATTTGAAAATGCTTTGTAAATATAAAAGTAGTTATTGGAATATTTCTTCATTATTATAGTTACTGTTATTATGATCTCCTCATCTCCTGACCAGCCTCAATCATCCCTAAGGATGGGAAATTGGAACTATGATCTGGCCTCCACTTCGAAGGGTCCTGAGGTGGTTTAAAGACTCATAGCAGCACAGAAGCCGACTGCCTAGACCAGTGGTCAGCAAACTGTGGCTCGCGAGCCACATGTGGCTCTTTGGCCCCTTGAGTGTGGCCACGAAGTATCAATCGCACTGTACGTGTGCGTCCGCACGTGGTATTTTGTGGAAGAGCCACACTCAAGGGGCCGCAGTTTGCCGACCACTGGCCTAGACCCATCACTACACCAAGATAAAATGGAGGTGGAATTCCTCCCCTCCCCACTGCCATTCTCCTCTTCTAAGACTGAATTTTATGTTGTTGTTGTTGTTGTTTTTTAATTCCCCCCCTTTCAAGGTTACCTTTCATGCTCATTTAAATTTGTTTTGAGGGGCAAGGAAGGTTGGGCACACAGATGAATGTGCACCCAATTTTATAGCATCCTTAATGCAGTGGAGTTGTCCTTGCCTGAGATTTTTGCATTTTAATAGTAAATCTAACATCCAAGGAAGTGAATCTATATATATAAAAGCCTAAGCGACTGTTCCAACTAGTTGAAAGAATGACTAGTCGACTGGTCGCTATGACATGCACTAACCACCAGGGGGTAGGCGCTCAATGCAGGGGCTGCCCCCTGGTCGTCAGTGAGCTCCTACAGCCAACCTCCCGCAATCCCTCCTCCCTGGCTGGCCAACCCCGATCAGGACTGGGTGAGACTCCCCGATCAGCTCTGATCGCTGGCCAGGCCGAGGGACCCCCCACCTGTGCATAAATTCATGCACCAGGCCTCTAGTATATAATGGTTGAATTTCTGATGATGGAGAACTCAAAGAAAAGAGATAAGGTATACTCAAATCATACCACACTATAATCCACCTTTTCCACTGGTAAAACTAACCCTTTTTGGGTGTAGTATAAAAAATAAGTAAGAACAATTTTTTTAAAGCCAGCACAATTAGACAGATGAGGCTGGTTAAAAGGAACCTATGACTCTGAGTTAAGAAACATGGTAACATAGTAGGAGGTCTGCCTTGTGCTGTGGCTCAGTGTTAGTCCTAGTGGACCACCTCCTAGAGCAGAAGGCAGGGTCGGAACTCCTCTGCCGGGGATGGTGGGAAACTAGGGTCCCACATAAAAGACATCAGCAAATGACTATTGAATGGCAAAGCTATAATTTGCGTTTCAGATTTTCGGTAGTCGCTGTGTTTTGCCTTGAGGGAGACAATACAACCAGGATCTGTGGTTGAAATTGAGCTTAATTTGCTGTGGCTGATTATTTTGTTCTTAATCATTGCAAAATGATTAATCTTTACTCCTACCCCACCCACCCCTTTTCCTTCAAGCTCAACAACTTCATGATGGAGCTCATTTCTACTCTTTATCATAACCCATGTCTATGCCACATCATTATACCCTTCTCTCCCTCTCCCCTTCTCTTTTTCCTTCTCTATTCAGGCAAAGTCACCATGGCATAGAAAGAGTGTGGGCCCAGCCACTGACCAACAGAATGACATAAGGGATGTTAAGAGCCATGGGTTGCATTCCCAAGCTATCAATATGTATAAGGCCATTCACTACACAGGGGAATGCATGAATTAAATAGGATAGGTGCACTTGACACATAGAATTCTTCCATCCTCGTGTGCAGGGTTCTGGGGCTGCAGCCTGAGTAACTTCCTGTTTCTGCTGTGAGGACTAGGTAAGCAGTGGGAGGGGGGCTCTTGGGGCCAGAGTGGGCTTTAAAACAAACACAAAAGCCCCTGTGAATATAAAGCAATCTGCTGCCACATCTAAGTTACTGGCACACTGAGTGAAACTTGGAACAATTTCTAGCCACATAACACAGTGACGGAAAAGTCAAGAAAAAACCAGCCAGTAAAAGTTTTATGAGGCCAACGCTAAAAGAATCAGACTGAGTGCCTGCTC